AAGGTCCTGAAGTTCCAAGGACGTCCTCCCGCTTGCAATGCTTTAACTATAAGGGTTTCAGTTACATTTCCTCTAACTGTCCTAGTAGATCCCAGTTATGGAGGAACATGAGGGTGTAGTGGATGACCCGTTAGAGGATCAAGTTTATGAGCCTAAACTTGAAGAATTTAAGGACTTAGATGATAATGAAGATGCCTTCTTAGGTTGTATTCGGACCCTCCCCATGGATCTAGGGTCACCCCACACGTCTCAATTAAATGTTGTACATTGTATCCTCACTCAACCCAAAAATGCTAATGATTAGCATCGTCATGCCATTTTCTACACTTACATCAAGATCAATAATATTGTAAAGTCATTGTAGATAGTGGTAGTTGCATTAATGCAGTTTCGATGGCTACTGTATCTCGTCTTGGGTTTGATACTTCATCGATAGCTGTAAAAGAACGTTGTCTAATACCTATCCAGTTCTTTGAGAATAAGGATCATATATGGTGTGACGTCATTCCCATAGATGTCGGTCACGTCATTCTTGGTCGGCCTTGGTTGTTCGATTTAGATGTAACCATTTCTGGTCGATCCAATTCATGTTCGTTCGTGTTTAATGGCAAGAAGNGACGTCATTTCAATGGATATTGTTCACGTCATTCTTGGTCGACCTTGGTTGTTCGATTTAGGTGTAACCATTTATGGTCGATCCAATTCGTGTTCCTTTGTGTTTAATAGAAAGAAGATTCACCTTAACCCACTGCCCCCAAAACCTATTAGCTCGCATAAAGCAAATAAAAGTTAAGAACGAAAAGGATTACATATCATTAGCCATACGGAGTTTGAGCGCACACTTGTGGACGATTCTGTTGTATTTGTCGTGATTGTTATGGAGGTTCCATTTAACTCCCCAATAGTAGCCCTTGTTGAAGCCCACACAATCATTTAAGAGTTTCAGAATGTCTTGAAGACCTACCTGACCAATTACCTCCTTTATAGGACATTCAACATGCCATGAATTTTGTTCCGAAGGGCATCTCTTTCAAATTTACCTCATTATAGGATGAATCCAACTAAACACGCTGCACTTCAGAGGCAAGTATATGAACTCCTTCACAAATGATTCACCTGTGAGAGTTCAAGTCCTTGTGCAGTTCATGCTCTATTGACTCCTAATAAAGATGGCTCTTGGAGGATGTGCATAAATAGTTGTGCCATCAATAGAATAACGATGAAGTATCGCTTTCCCATTCCTAGAATTGACGATATGTTAGATATGATGGTTGGTGTTACAATATTTTCTAAGATCGATTTGAAGAGTGGGTATCACCGATTAGGATCCGTCCCGGTGACGAGTGGAAAATCGCTTTTAAAACGAAAGATGGTCATTATGAGTGACTGGTTATGCCTTTTGGACTAACCAACGCCCCAAGTACTTTTATGTGAGCAATGACACAGACTCTTCGACCTTTTATGGGTAAGTTCCCCGTTGTCTACTTTGATGACATTCTCGTCTATAGTAAAACTAAAGAACAACACCGAGATCATCTTAAGCAAGTTTGTTCTGCCCTTCGTTTAACAAAATTGTATGCTGTTAGTCAATAAATGTTCTCTCTTCATCAATATTGTTGTTTTCCTAGAATTCATTGTATCATCTACAGGGGTATCTGCTGACCCTGCCAAGACTATACATGACGTCGGGAGTTTTCATAGCCCAGCTACCTTTTACCATCGTTTCATCAAGGGGTTTAGCACAATCATGGCTCCCATTACGGAGTGTATGAAGAAGGGAAAGTTTCATTGGACCCATGAAGCAACTAAGGCTTTTAAAATAGTTAAGAAACGGATGCCGG